TGTTGATTTATCAGTAAATACCTGCAATGAGTTTTCAGTGAAGCTTCTCTCTGTGCTGATGAGATTTGTGCTACCTAAAAATTAACAGAAATGACACTGTGAACAATGTAGTTGGGAAATAGGTATGTGTATATGCATTATTTATATTCACTGTTAAGCTGGGAATGGGGGACAGCTCTGGTTCACAATGCTACATACACCTGAGTTTTTGTCTGATTTTACTATATCTGCTTGATGGCAAAAGGGGAGGGGTGGTGGGTGGGAAAGGAAATGTCAGAGTAAATGCTCTGATAAAAAATGAAGGCAGGGAAACAAGCTGAATTACTTGAAATTACTTGAATTTTCTTGTCTTAAAATGGAAAAAAAATGTAGTTACAAGTTGAAATCTGCAAATAGTTTTTACACCTCTGATTTTAACATGAACTGATGTTAATGTTTGAAATGTCAGAAATATAAGTAGTTATATATTTAGAATATGGTTTGAATGGGAAAAGGTAGCAAGTGGAGAGAACTAAGGAGGGATATGGCCTATAAAAGAATAGAATGCAATTAGAATGATAGAACATACCAGAGTTACCAAGAAATTGATATGCGTCTGGCTTTAAGCTTATGCAAGTGGTATTTGGGAAAGTAGGATGTGTGAAAAAAGGGGGTGTGGTTTTGATTTCATTCATGCAATATGAAGGGGGAAACCTGGTCTAAGAAGATGCTGTATTTCAAAAGAAACACTTTCTAAGATGTTACAGATTGAGAATTAGAGAATCTGATTGCTGTTGGGTGTTTTTTGTTTGTTTGTCTGGAAAAAAAGAACAAGTCTGGCTTCTACTATTTGTTTTCACTATCAAATTGTGTTACTTAATTTCTTGTCATCCTTGTATGTAAAATAGGTGCTGGGGGTGGCGGGGTAGAGGAGGGAGAATGTGTATGTGTGTGTGCATGTGCACGTGCGTGCACACGCACGCTCTTGGGCTGGGATAGATAAGCTACCTGGTAAAGGGTACATTTGAACATTTATGAAATGTTATACTTTTTATTAAAAGAAATATGTTTGGGGTTTGAAAAAAATGTACCATCATTTCTCATTGGAACCCATGACTTAAGAAAACCAACATGGTTTGACACCACATGGGAACATGAATATCTTTTTCTCATGCTTTGAAAAGTACACTTGGCAAAATTTTAAAAAATAAAGTTTTTAGACAAATGTGGTAAGAAACAGTCATTTCCAGTCACAATAGGTTATCTTTTGTAATTTTCATAAAAGCAGTTCGTTTGCAGTATGGCTTTGTGTAGTTAGGGGGTTTTTAAGTGTTAAGAAATGTATGTGGGCTTTAAAAGTGATTCTAAATCTTGAATAGAAACATGAATTGGCTTTAATAAATATGTCACCTTTTAATTATTGACATTAATTTAAGTAATGGTACCATGTATAGCTTAAAATACATATTGACTTGAATTGTGAGGCAATAAGATACCTTCTATATGTAATGATCATAGAACTAACCCTTATAATATAGTTTTACTTATTTTGTTTACTCTAAAAATCTATAGCAGAGTTTCTCTATTTTATATTTCATAGATTTAAAAAACCCCAAATAAAGATAGATTTTAAATTCACTGTGGAAAATACTATTGAGCAACAAACTGAGTAAAAAAAAAAAGCAAGGAATTCCTTAGTAATCTGGAATATTCTACATGGCTTTGTTACATAGTATATAAAACCAAGATTTAGAGGCTGTCTTCAACATCACTGCCATCTTGAAGCAGGGTACACACATTAGGTATTACAAAAAAAACATCAATCCAAGTTTTCTTCTGTTGTTTGCACTGATGCTAATTTTTTGTGCTTTTAGGTTTATACAACATGTCTATGTTGTGTGGGGGAATTTTTTTCCTTACTCTTTGATTTTTTTTTATGTTTTGGCTAAGTAGAGGACATGGACTAGTTATAGCAAACAAAACACACTGTTTGCTCTTGCCAAAGGTCAGTGAGTGAGTACATTTGCTGCAGTGGTGGCTGACTTAGAAAACTAGATCCTGACAAAAAAGATTTAAAACTATGATGTGTCACTATTTTGGTACTCGAACCAATTCATGCTGGCCAAAAAGACAATGGTTTATGGACTTGCATCCATTTTGTATTTTTGTAATATTTGTAAATATGAACTTTTTAAATTGTTGCAAAAAATGGTTTCTTTTGTAAGATGTTTTCAACGTTTACATTCAATTCAAGCCTTTGTATATTTTAGAGCTGTGCAACACTTTAAGTCTTGTATTTATTTTTAGTAAAAATGGTGACAGTTTCATTGTGAACCCCTTTAAAAAATGTACCAGGAAAGTTTGATTACCTAGAAAGTGTGTATTGAAACTGCAAATAAACGTGACTGCAATTACATTGGTTTCTCTCTTCATTGTTATATAACTGCATTCTTGGGGTTTCACAAACACAAGCATTTTATACGGAACTGGACATAAAGGAGGGGAGACTACTATGGCAAAACTATGAGCATAATAATAATAATAATAATAATAATAATAATAGTGTTTCTACAATGGGCTCAAATCTTGCTTTGTATTTGAGAAGAGAAAAAACACATTTACAATGTTGGATATACTTTTCCGTAGCCCCTCTCTGGGCTAGGAAAAGATTTCTGGCTTTACTTTGAAATATTCACCTTTACTTCTGATAAGTACTCAGACTGTTCCACACTGTTCCTTCTTCCCAAGATGGGCAGCCTCGATATATATAAGACAATATGCGACTAAATAATGTCATGCAATCTTTATAACATAGCAAATTCATGTGCCAGATAGTGTTCTAAGTGCTTTGCTTACTCCAACTCATGTACTCCCCACATTGTGCCCATTTTGCAGATAGGGAAACTAAAGCACAGAGCGTTACTTGACTTGCCCAAAGTCATAGAGTAACTAATGTTGGGGCTGAGATTCCAACCCAGAAAATTTGGCTCCAGGGTCAGTACTTGTACCAAACCACAATTACTAAGGTTGATCGCTATGGCCCCGCCCCTCTACCTCTCATATTCCAATACTGATGAGCACGCTTAGAATCCAGTCAATGTGAACCTTAAAGGGAGGGGTAGGAGAGGAATTACGTTTCAAAGAAAGCTTCAAAGAACCAATCAGTGACAGTGGGAGGGCACAAGCCTAAGTACCACAATCCCCGAGAGCTGCCTCCACAATCCCCGAGAGCTGCCTCCATAAACCCCGAGAGCTGCCTCCACAATCCCCGAGAGCTGCCTCCTCAAACCATCCCGTGCGCATGCGCGAACAGCTCCTGCCCAGTTCCAGAAGCCCCGCCCAGCATTGGAGGTTCGCGCCTGTGGTTTAGTGCAGGATTCCAACCCTTTTCCTGGGCGGTCACCCTAGCAACGTCCTGCTGTCCAATGTCCGCGCTTGCCTCGACGGTTGCTGGACATCACGTGGTCCTGCTCTGCTTTCGCATGACTTCGAGTGGCTCCAAAGAGTCTTCGCCATTGCATCTCGGAGGGACGAGCGCGCCACAGCTAGTCTGCTCCTGCGTCTTCTGGAGGCTGGTGTCACCAGATTTGTCACCAGGAAAGGTTTATCCAGCGATATTTCCCCTCTCCTTGAACTTTCTTGTCTTGGGTGTGGGTGAGAAAGCAGTTGAGTGATTTTAATGCCTTAGGAACTCCGGGGAGGGGTCAGGTGGGAAATGAGAGGATTTGCGTGAGGGAAGAGGAAGAATTTGCTTTTCTGGAAGAACAAGTCTACACTTGAATTTCAGCAGCGCTGAGGTGGAGTGTGTGTGGGTAGTTCGGGCTGGTTCCCACTGGTTCCCATTGCCGCCCCGGGATGCTGGGGCATGTGAGCTTTTGTGATTTGGCCACTTTTTGAGTAGTTGGTGCTGACCTTCAAGGACGAGTTTATCTTTTTCATTCTCTTCCTTGGCATATCAAGACATTGTTTTTGAGGCTTTGATGGTAGCTGTGTTTGATCAAAGATGTGCAGCGTCGCTCTTTTTTTTTTATTGCTTAAAGTATTACAAAAAGTATTACATATGTCTCCTTTTTTTCCCCGCCCTTGACAATCCCCTGGCCTCCCCTACCCCCAGTGTCGTCGCTCTTTTATTGTAAATACGTAAATGAGGAAAAAGAAAGATGTAGGTTGTGCAAGGTCTTTTGAGAACTTTGTTTGTTGGGGATCGTTTCCCTCCTTCCCTACCTGGCTCTCCTGGAATTCAGACTAGAGTTTTAAACTGGTTTAACATTTATAATTAGTGATTGTTCAGTGTATTGACACAGTTTGTGTGTGTGTGTGTGTGTGTGTGTGTGTGTGTGTGTTAAATCCTCGCTCGAGGATACTTTTTACGAAAGAGAGAAACATTGTTGCGCAAGAGAAACACTGTTGCGAGAAAGAAACATTGTTGTGAGAAAGAGAAACATTGTTGCGAGAAAGAGAAACATTGTTGCGCGGGAGAGAAACATTGTTGCAAGAGAGACACATCCACTGGTTGCCTCCTGCCCTCACCCCCACCCCTGGTGGGGTGGTACATGCCCTTGACTGGGAATCAAAACCTGGACTCTCTGTTGCGCAGGTCAACGCTTTAACCACTGAGCAACGCCTGCCAGGGCGACATCGGTGTTTTTTTTTAAACGTTTTGGATTGGCCTGGCTATTGTAATCTGCCCTGTTTTGCTGTGTATTCCTTGCAGTTTGTTTTCCAGTGAAAGGCCACTTTCATCCCTCACCACTGTGAAAAGTTGATGGCAAGTGAATGCCTTGTACCTTGGGAGCAGAATCTTCAAATGACTTTTGAAAAATGCCTTTGAAATGTCTTTAATGTCTAAAAAAGTCATAAAAACTAGGTAGCTTTTTGGTCTTATGTTGTCAAGAACTTAGATTTTTTCTATTGTAAAATATGGATGAGCTTCATTTTTAAGTTAACTCATTTTGCAGGAGTTTGAATTTAATGGATTATATTAACTAATTTTGCAAAATCTAATTATGGCTGAGCTCATTGCTGTGTAATCTTCCTTTGTTCAAAACATCACAGTTTAATTGTACATAGCTTGTTATTACTTGTATCAGGAAAAATACACGTAGTATAAAATAATAAAATTTGGTTGAAGTTACAGCTCAAATTAGATATATTTTATAACTGCATATTTCCCACAGTATTAGCCTACATTTATCTAACTTGAGACTTAATTCTCCCTTCATTCTGACTGTCATTAATGGTCTGGCTCTGGATGGATAAATAGAATTAGCACTCTCATGTATGTCCCCCCTTCTAGTGCCATGATGCCAGCCAGGGTTCAAATCCTTACTACAAGATATGATATGATTGCATTGCACTCCATGTTTGTTTCCTATTTGCAGTTAAATGACCCAGAACCATAACCAAGCCTACACAATTCTGAAAGATCTTTAGCTGATAATTTTATCTACATTTATTTAGGTTTAATATGAACTTTAACTATGGAAGCAATCATAATCTTAGAGCTGAAGTAACCTTAGGGATAATCTCAGCCAGTTTTCGCCAGTCAGATGAGAAGGCGGTATCTCAGGTGGTCTGCCCAGCCCACACCCTGGTGGAGACCCAAGGTGGAGCAGATTCCTGACTCACATTTGAAGGCCTGCTGGAGTTCCTTTACAAAAGCAGTTAGGAATCTTAGGAATCATGTTGCCTTGTTTCCAGCATTTAATCTGTAACCTTTAAATTGTGAAGCATTCAGTTCACAATTTGGAATTGTGTTTGATCTTGATTCTTATTCCTATGCGTGGTCAAGCTTTAAAGGTTTATTCTTAATCAAGAACAGGAAAATTCTAAAATTCAACCAGGACTCCAATTTGAGTTGGCTTGTGAAAACATATCCATACTAAGTTTATTAACGTAGTATGTAAAGTAACATTTTTATGCATTGCTTTTCAGGAATAGAAGGCTTTTCAGTCCTAGGTGACCAAGCAGTTTCACAAATAAACCCTCCAGCAAGTTGAAAAATAAGTAGGTCCAACTCAGAGAAGTGAAGTTGCTCCTATTGCACAACGATGTCTAGCTGCTCCAGTGAAGTTGATGTGGTTTGTATTTCAAATTGAAAAAAAATGTGTCCTTGTTCTTTTCATTGTGCTCTATTTCTTTTCTCAATTGAATTTAATTTCAAGCAGAGATTGTAAGTGTTTAGTTCTTGACAGTGATCTATAAAGCTGCTGTGAACATTCATGTACAAGTATTTTGTGAACAAATACTAACAATTCTTTTGGGTAAATGCTCAGGAATTGAATTGCTTGATTATATGGTTGATGTAATTATAACTTTACTAGAGGCCCAGTATACGAAAATTCGTGCACTGGGGGGGCCATCCCTCAGCCCGGCCTGCTCCCTCTCACAGTCTGGAAGCCCTCAGGGGATGTCCTACTGACGGGGAGGAGCAGGCCTAAGCCACAGTCTGGTCTCCCTCTGCAGAAGGTGACCTGCCTATCAGAGGAAGGCACTGCCCCCATCACTCCCTCACTGCTGCTGCCTCTGGCCTCCCTCTGTGGGAGGTGACCAGGCCGATCAGGGGAAGGCAACACCCCATCATGCCTCTGCTGCTGCCACTGCCAGCCGTGAGGCTGCCTGAGCCTTGGCCCTCACAGCCACTGCAGCTTGCCTGAGCCTCGGCCCTCACAGTGGCAGCCATCATCCATGGCTTGCCTGAGACTCAGGCCGGCCCTGGGCAGCGGCTTGTCTGAGCCTCGGGCTGGCCCTGGCAGCAGCAACCACCATCGGTGGCTTGCCTGAGCCTTGGGCCAGCAATGGGCATCGGCAGCTGCCATTGGCAGCTTGCCTAAGCCTTGGGCTGGCCTGCCATCTGCGGCTTATCTGAGCCTCAGGCTGGCTCTGGGCAGCTGCTTACCTGAGCCTTGGGCTGGCCTGCCATCGGCGGCTTACCTGAGCCTCAGGCTGGCCCTGGGCAGTGGTAGCTGCCATTGGGGGCTTGCCTGAGCCTCGGGCCAACCCTGGGCAGAGGCAGCCGATGCACCTCCTGGTCAATTCCCCGCCCAGGACGCAGCATCAAGTCCCCACCCACCCACGTGCACCTTGCAGCTCACGCAGTCCTGCTCACCTGCACACGTCCGCTGCACATGCAGCCTCCTGGTGATCACTTGTTGCAGCATGAGGGCGTCAGGGCATGAGGGCGTGACAACAATGTAGGCTTTTATTAGTATAGGTGAGAATCTGCCAAAAGGTTTTTTTTAGAATGTTTATGGTCTTGTACATTCTGTCACATTGTATGTTTCTTGATCCCTGAAGTTGAATACAAAAATATTTTTAAGGTATATATATAATTTGGCTCAAGAGAAAACACATTATTTGCATAAGGGTGTAAATATTACTGCCACCTAGGTGGTATAGGCAATTTTTTAACTTATATCAGTCCTAACACTTTTTATCTTTGGAAATAATGTTAACTACCTACAAAGAGTCCATTTTTTTTTGACATAATTATGTGAAAGCACTTGGGAAAGCATAAGGCACAATACAAGGGTAAGATGGTATATTTTTATAGGAACTAATCTATAGTAATTCCATATTATTTTGGTTATATCTTTTGAAACAGACATGCATAGCTTTAAAGTATGCTTATTTTAAATTATTCCTATAGTTCATTCTTAAAATAAAGAGTTATTAAGTGAAATTTAATGGTTATCTATTTATTTAAAACATTCCCAAAACATTTTAAGGTGCTCTAGAGATTAATTTATCAAGAAAAAGGTGAAAAAATTCAGAAGTACAGATTGGTAGTACTAACTAGTCATAGGGATGTAAAGTACAGCATAGGAAATATAATCAATATTACAATAACTATGTGTGATGTCAGATGGGTACTAGAAATATCAGGGTGAATACTTTGTAAAGTATATGATTGTCTAATCACTATACTGTACACCTGAAACTAATATAAAATAATATTAAATGTAAACTGTAATTGAAAAAAAATTAAATTAAAAAATGCTTCTGGAAAGAAAAAAAAAAGCCTTGGTAAAAAATTATGTAGAAGTACCTAGAATTGAAGGTTTTATGATTATTGCTTTACTAGCAATAATTAACTTATGTGCTATTAAATAAAACAAATTGTTTTTAATCAGGAAAATAAGGATTTAATTAAAAGTTTTTAAAAAAGAAATAGGTACTTAAGTGTTTACTATTTTGTCCACAGAGTGGCACTGTTGGATGGTTTAAAAATCAAAAGCCATGTAACATGGTTCTTTGTGGTTAGAAATATTTGCTGTTATAGCAGTTCTGGTGCCAAATTACTAGAAGACTAGTCTTTCTACCCTGAGGTACACAGAGGCTGAGCTTGATAGAAATAATCTTAAGTGTAGTTGGGTTAATGAGAAAATGATTTTGCAAGTACATCTTTTCTTGTACTCATAACATTTATTTACAATGGGCAAAGGTCCTTTAATACCACAGATAGGATTTTGGAGTTTCTTTAAAATGAAATTGAAGCCCTCAATTTTTCTTTCATTTCCATCTTTAATGTTTCCTTTTAATTTATTAATAAATCTTCCTTAGGTAAGAACTCGAATAACTACTTGTGATGATGATAATGGCATTCTTTATGCATATCAATCAAAGCCTGGATATGCCAATGTAAATGTAAGTAATAATTGCCACTTCCCAAATATAACACAACCATTTTAAAGACAAATATTTAAATTCTTCATATACTATAGACCACCTCCAAACCACACTCAAGAAGTTATTCTCTCCTAAATTTGTTTGCCCCCTTTCATTAGACAATGAGCATTTAACAATTTTACTTCCCTCTTTTTCTTATATAGTAGAAAATTGAGAGCAATACTGATTTTCAGTACAAAACTCTAAATGTAGGTCCTTCTGATGTAATAAATTATTTCCTTACTCCCTCTCTTAATTAGTAGTAATCATTTCTATTATATTAATGTGAGTTTTTCTTTTATTTCAATTCTGCTCTATGTTAAGACTTCCGAAATTCTAAAAAGTTAGTGAAAAGTAAAAACAATTTAATTAAAGTGTTTTTTTATCATTTATGTTCAGTTTGGCTCTTACAGAAGTAAATCATTAATACTTAACATTTAAAATCTTAGCAGCAAAATGTTCAGGCTGACACATCTAATGAAGAGCACCAAAAAACAATTGTGGATATCCTGAGTCATTGCCAGGTACAGAAGTTCTGTCTGTCAAATGTAGTTTTTTAAAGTATTAAGCTGAACTTCTCTTTATCTCATATAAAGTATATAATTAGTTGACATTTTACTGTATTAAATTGTGACTATCATCCCATTGTGATCATTTTTAACAATTCCTAGTTCAAATAGCATCTGTAGGTGAAAAATTTGAAATACCAATATGTAGATTTTATAGCTTTTTTTTTTTTCAAAAAAGCCCTTAACTAATCAAATGTATGTATGTCCCTTTCATGTAGATTGTTCAATATTTAATTTCTCTAACATGCTCTTTCTAAAGAAATTGGCTGATTTGGATGAAGTTTAGAATATGTCTAAATGCATTTCAAGAAATTTAAATTGAAAGAAAATGGCAGCCTACTTATTTTACAAGAGTATATCTTACATAGTTTTGAGGGGATTTTGTAAAAATTGGCATGTTGGTAGAGATTGATAGATACATGTAATTATCAAGGATTTTGTGAGCTGCATACCCTAGAGGTAATATACATTTATAAAAAATAAATGTTTTTTAACATACCAAGTGTCCTTAATAAAATGAGTTAACATACTTTGAAAAGTAAAGAATATTTATGTGAGTCTTTATTATTTTTATTACTGAGAACAGAAGTAAATGCTTAAAGGGGACATAGGTTCTGATTTTGAGTAGGGCTATCCCTGGCCTGCCTTACATAAGTATTCATGACAACCTAGGTGGACAGTGCTCTGCCAGGGTCTTCTGAGCAATTGTGCAGGATGTGGTGGGATGTAGCATCTAGGATAAGAAATGCTCAGGTCCCAAAGTCACAGGCCTGGAATGGGCCATAGGGATCCACTCTATTTTGCCTAGTGGGCCAGCTCTCTCCTTTCTTCAACTCCTTCCCTTCCCAGTCTAGACCACATGATGCAGCACTTCCAGCTTTTCTTTTTTATCCTTGCCCAGCATCCTCTTTAGTAAAACCCCCAGCCCTGTGCTGGCTGGGAATCATAGGGGAGAGCCTCTACTGGGACCTGTCCACTGCCTGGTAATCCTTCAGCAGCTCTCCAATCATCTCCTTCTCCCACCCCCCTACAAGCTCCAGACACCCCAATCTTTGCTTCTTGTTTAATGGAGAAAATGGGGGACATGGAGCAGAAATCCTCTCCAAGTTCTAATTCCTCTCCCCACAGCCAACAAACTTTCCTGGATCCATTCCTCTTCTGATGTCTTCCTCTGTAAGACTAAGACCTCTGCTGGTTTCCTCTGACCCTCTTTCCCTGTGTTCAGACGCTTTCCTTAGTGGGCCATCCCTCTCTCCTGTATTGCTTCAGCCTCCGTGTCTATCACTCAGCATATTCTCCCACAGTTTACAAAATGACTTCTTTTAGCCTCCCATCCTTCTTTTGCTGTCATCCTTCCTGTGTCCTTCCCTTAATAATCCAGCTCTTTGAATGTCAATTATGTTCACTATCTAAACATCTGACTTCCTGTTTTCTCTCTGGGTATTTTTTTAATTGTTTTATTACTTAAAGTATTACAAAGAGTATTACATATGTCTCCTTTTTTCCCCACCCTTGACAATCCCCTAGCCTCCCCTACCCCCCAGTGTCTTATGTCCATTGGTTATGCTTATATGCATGCATACAAGTCCTTCGGTTGATCTCTTACCCCCTTCCCTCCTGCCCCCCAACCCTCCCCAGCCTTCCCGCTGCAGTTTGACAATCTGTTTGAGGCAGCTCTGCCTCTGTATCTATTATTGTTCAAGAGTTTGTAATGGTCTCTATTATCCATGAATGTGTGAGATCATGTGGTATTTTTCCTTCATTGACTGGCTTATTTCACTTAGCATAATGCTTTCCAGTTCCATCCATGCTGTTGCAAATGGTAAGAGTTCCTTCTTTTTTACAGCAGCATAGTATTCCATCATGTAGATGTACCACAGTTTTCTAATCCATTCATCTACTGATGGGCACTTAGGCTGTTTCCAGATCTTAGCTATGGTGAATTGTGCTTCTCTGGGTATTTTTCAATACACTGTCCTTTCTGCCCTGTATGCGCCCCACCCCCATGCATCTCTACCAACCTGGGTTAGGTCTTGCTCTTCTGTGTACACTTAGCCTTCTGTTCTTACCTGTGCCATAATAGTCAAGTATTAAATATTAATATCAATATTAATATGGATAGATGATTGTCATTGGACCAATCATCAGGTAGTATTATTATGTTAGTATGAACATAATGCCATAGAACCTTATTTTTTTCTCAAGAGAACTCAGAGATATTTTTATCCTGATTCTATACATGAGGAAAGTGAAGTACAGAGAAGTTAAGTAACTTCACCAAGGTCACAGAGCTAATAAGTGTCAGAACTCTAGTATTTAGATTCAACCTTGTTCCCCTAGAGCCTGCACTGCTTACCTAGTGCTATAGGCCAATCAATGGGTCTCACACTTGATCGGACGTCAGAATGACCTGGAGGGCTTGTGAGAACAGACATTGCTGCCTCCACTCTGAGTTATTAGGTGTGGGTAAGGGCATTTTGCATTTCCAGTAAGAAAATATTGATGCTGCTGGCCCATGGTCCACACTTGGAGAACCCTTCTCCAGGCTGCTACTCAGTTTCTCTCTTGAAAGCATCTCTTTACTTTTCTCTCTCTCCAGTTAAAATAGGAGTTCCTTAGGACAGGAGATGTTTGTTTTTTCTTAATGACCATGTTTATAGCATCTAGCAAAGTAGTCATGACAGGTGGTAGGCCCTCAATAAAAGTTTATTGGAATGAGTGAATGAGGAAATGGCTCTGGCCTATTACTTAAGTGTATTTTTTGTCTGAATGAAATTTCTGTGTATGCAAAATTTCTCAGGTTCTGTTTGTCACATACTTGATTGGCATATAGGGATGTGTATTCACAGATTGTTAATTGTATGTTGTAATTGTTGATTGCATGATTTAAAAATGCTTTGAAGGCAAAAGTCACATCTGATATATTTGGCTCACTGTTCTTTCCAGACTGGAATACTCACTGCCTACTAGTTCATGTCATCATATGGAAAGAGGTTCTTTGACTTTTCAGCAGATTTGAAAATTTCTTTTCTAAAATAGCACCTTCTTTGATATAAAATGAGTCCATCATAAATGTGATGGGTTATAGGAATTGTGCTACATGTACTTCATAATTGATGCTTCCGAAAAATGCCTATATGACATGGAGTAGTTGTGTAGGAGGTTGGCACTCCTTATGTCAGCCATCTGTGATCTCTGTCAGCAACAACTAGGCGTCAATTGGAAAGGAAGACATTTCTGATGGCTTGTGAACTTTCTTTTATCCTAGCAGTCAAAATTTGGCTTAATAGTATTTTCTTATATGTTAACTTTTCTTTTAACATAGAACCTACTAATAAATTGTATTATTATAGGTCATCCAAGATGCTATTCAAAACCTGGATAAGAAGTTTAATATCATTCATAAAAAGGTTTCAAAAATTTACCGTTTTCGTACAAAATTAATCTGGCAAAATAGGGTAAGTGTCATAAAAATATTTTCACAACTATAATAAACCTCTGGTTGCTGAAATTGCCTGTCAGTTAGAAGTGAGAGAACTAATAAGTCTGTGAGATTGCAAGGCTGATCATACTTGTAGCAACAGATGGGAGGAGACTGGACTTCTAGGAAGAATGCTGAAGTTTAGGTTTGAGAAATGTATGAAAATGGGTATTTTTATGTTTGTAACCAGAATGTACAAACTGCAATTAAAAGGTAGTATTAAAGAGGAATAAAAATCATATCATCAAATAGAACATTACTTTTTAATAATAGAATGCAATGTTGCGTGGATAATAAATATTAATGTCTTTACTACTTTATTTACTTTTTGCTCACTCACAATTGGTTTATCATGCTGGGTTTCTGTCATTTCAGAAGCCACTTGGATATGCATACAAACATTATACTTACCTGCTTTCTCGAAAGGTCAAATTGCAGAAAAAGAAGAAGGATGTGTCTCCTCCTGCTTCATTGTCTTATACAGGAAGTTATAGCCCAACTACACCAGTAAGAAGACCATCATATGATTCCCAGAGCAACATTGCAGGAACATATGGCTCATCACAGGATTCCGTGATGCGTGATTACAACATTGAAGAGACGCGCCTTAGCCAGAGTCCAAAATTCCCTCCTGTCTACACACAGGAAGATCCACCATATTACGCTTCCAATGAGCCAGTGCAGCGCTCCCCTTGCATGTCCTCCTTTGGCAATCAAGGGCCTCACAGCTCCACATCAGTACCTGGAGCTATGCTGGAGCAAGGCAAATCCAGTCTTGCATATAACCCTGAGATGATGGCTTACCCAGCTTTGCTGGAAAGGGATTGCCTGGGCCATGACACCTCATCTTCCTGCATCCCAGGCATCGCCCGTGAGTGTGAAAAGACATATTTATTACAAGTAGCACTATTTAGCCTATATTCCTCAACATACTTGGTGCAAGCTAGTGGAAGCTGTTCATTTCCTATTTGAGGGCTGGTTTGGGGTGATATTCATAATGATGACTAACATTTATTAAGTGTCTTTTATGTATCAGACACCGCTAATCAACTGACATGCCTCTTCACCAATACTCACAATAATCCCATTGTGAGTATTTTTAAAAAATATATTTTCATTGATTTCAGAGAGGAAGGGAGAGGGAGAGAGAGATAGAAACATCAATGATGAGAGAGAATCATTGATCGGCTGCCTCCTGCACACCCCCAAATGGGGATGGAGCCCGCAACCCGGGCATGTGCCCTTGGCCGGAATCGAATCTGGGACCCTTCAGTCCACAGTCCGACACTCTATCCACTGAGCTAAACCAACTAAGGCCATTGTGAGTATTTTTATATTTTGTTTTTCTTTACCTTTTTCCTAGGTAAATACTCAGAATGCTCTTGAAATGGCCAGAGCCAGGATGATAGGAAAGAAAAGATACACCTTTGGCTAATTTACACATAAGAAAGATCAAAATTGTATTGATGATCTTTGGTTAGAGAAACATTTCCTAGGGAATTACAAAACCCACTTCTGTTATCACACACAATAGAGATTTGAGTGCTCTAGTTGAGAAAATGAATATGTCTAGACACAGAGAAATTTCACCATGACTTAGTGAACATCACAGCTAAAACTTTTTGAGGTATGAGCACTGCAGTTGTTTCATGTCTTTGTTATTTTTCAACATATAAACCTCAATGAAAATAGCTATTTCTGTGTAGTTAAACTCAAAAGAAGTATTGAATATAGTGTTGAAGTTACTTCTGACCTAGCTAAGAATATAAAATCATCTTGTTTTCTTCAAAATTCAGATAAGTAAGCCTTGAAATGCAGGAATTTAAAGAGTAAAATGATGCTTAAAATATCTATAGTGAATATATAGGAAGGATTCAGTAAAGAACTAATTTGGTTCTCAAAGATGTGGGGTTTTTGAAATTCATTTATTAAAGTGAATACATTTTAAAAATTATGAAGTTTAATTTGGAGGATTTCCATTGTATTTAGCTGATAAAATAAACCTAATCTAGACAGATCAATAAGAAATAAATTCATTGAAATACTTAGAGAATAATAGGTTAGCTTAGATTAACCTATTTAACCCAAGTAACAGATCTTTTGCTATATTTGCCTGTGGCCAAAGAGACCTCAGATTGCTGTCTGTTTTATGAGTTTTGAAGCTTTACAGTAACTTCGGAAGCTGCTGCTGCTGTTCGTGGGCAGTCAGATGGGCCACTCATGGGTACCCATCTTCATATCATCTTTATCTAAGCTTTCACTGGATTTTGCACTTGGAGTCTTGGGTCCTTGCTGGGGTACCTAGCAGATGGTTTCAGGAGTGAGGCCTTTACTCCCTACCTAACATCTCTTCTTTCAGGATAATGATCAGATCAAGTATGATTTGTTTCCCCTCCCCCGCTCATTGAAGCTGCAGGTTCATCAATTGGAACTGACTCGTGTGTGCTAAAAGAAGACTTCCCTGATGACCCTTCAATTTGGACAGTAGAACAAGTGGTCCTGTTTCTACAGCATTTAGATCCTGAGCTATTTGCCCCCCTTGCCAACACCTTCAGGCAACACGTAATGTATTTTTTGATCCCATTTTCCTACCTTTGAATGACCTCTGTGCAGGCTCTTCAGTTTGATACTGATTAGTGTGGATGGTAAGGGAACTGCATGTGTGAGAAAGGTTACTGTGCTCAAAGTTAGATCTTTAAGTTGTAGAAGCTTTATTTGTAATTTAAATGGCTACCTGAGTACCTAAAATATTACAAGTCTTCAAGTTCTCAAGATGATTCAGTATGGTCACTCTCAGGTGTCTTCTCCTTTGTAATGACAGCTATGATACCACACAAGGGTGTCCTCCTTGTTATGCATATTTACAGTTTGCATTGATGCTGCCATACTCATATTCCCAGCCTTTCTTAAAAAGTTAATGACCATCTGAAATTTATTTCTGCCATTCATAGCTTTTATTCTTTTTCTCATAGCTATGCAGTATTTTATTCAACATACAGTACTTAAAATTAGGTAGTTTGACACTTAGGACATTTTTAGGATATTGGGTTAAATATAATTCTTAAAATTTGAAGTAAATTTGTAAAGGATCAAATGACGCTTCAGCTGTACAAATTACATCTTTAATCGTTTTCAAAGAGCAGATGCATGTTCAGAGAATATACAACTGGAATGGGCTGCCCTCTAATTGATGTTACATGTTCTTATATATAAAGAAATGACCATTCTGATAAAATATGAAAGCATTATTAGTTATTCTAATTTCCTTCTTTTTGTAGGACATTGATGGGTCAGCTCTGCTACTGCTCCCGAATGACATTATGATAAAGTATATGGGAATTAAGCTGGGGACAGCTCTGAAGTTGTCCCACTACATCGAAAAGCTTAAAGCACAAAAAGGCATTGAGTTTTGAAAAAAAAAAAGTTTGTATAGATTTACATTAGACTTAATTCTGGAAGACCAATGCCATCTCGATGTAAAATCATTCCATTGCTTTTAGAAATTTTTGTGTTGTAGAAGGTTCCTCTAAAATTTTGTTACATCTAGAATTGCAGAACTACACTGCAGTTCATTCTGTTTGTTTAGAAACTGTTTAACACATTACTATGAGCATAATCAAATTAGTAATTGGTTCTTTATATCTTTTTATTATCATTGTATAGTTAAAAATATACTTCATATGAGAAACACTTTTGATTTCAGTTGATGTTTATATATAGAGCCAAAACAGCTAAATCCCAAAGAGGAAGTATCAGGGATTGACAAGTTCTCTAATAAAATCCATGAGAAGTTTTCCTTAGAAGAGAATTCAAAGATGCACCTGCAGATATCATCTCTTTCTCAAATATTTTGTGTCTGTTATAACAGTGTTCTGTTCATGTTCTATCAGTTTTCTGAAAGGGAATAGCCATGTAATTTATTTCCCTGTTGCTATTATTTCTCTCTATATTGTATTTGTTCATATTTAAAGAAAAAAGTAACCTTATAGGATTTCATAAAGTGTTCTTACCAGTTTTTTGATAAATTATAAGATAGAATGAATCCTTTATGCAATAGCTCTTATACTACAAGGTGGTTTGGGTGAAGTATGGTTTTATTCTTCTCCATTAAATTTACCTGTTATTTTAAAACTTTAAAATATCTTGCCTAATCTTAGATATTTAACTAGCCATTTATCACTCACATTTCTCTCTGAAGTTTACTGTGTCCAAATTTTTAAAAATGCATATTCATATGGATACGGTTTTATATTTATATTTTATTCTATATCTGAAGTATGCACACAAGTGAATCTTTTTGAATTTAAAATGGCACTTTCCACTTCTATATATAGTGAGATATTTTTATTCTGTAATGAATATGCACTTCATTTGCCATCACAAGTACCTCTTAGCTCACTCAGGGTTTCCATAGGAAAGTTCTCTGTCCTGTGTAGTATATCTAGTTCATTTGCTTTCTGAGCCATTTATTCTATTAAACTTTGTAAGGTACATTAGGTTGGATTTGTCATTTTAGACTTTATTTTAAAAATTAGAACTTTCAAGTAAAACATGCTCATTGTTATTATTTTGTTATTTATTACATTGTTATATTGTATTGCATTTGCTGTAATATTTATAAGCTATAAGAATTGGTGCTAACTGTATTAGTCATTTGTTGTAAATGCAATAAATGTTTGCCAGGGGCCAGCATGTACATTTCCTTTATAGAAAACCAAGTGTCCTTTACATTTATAAACAAATGCAATGATTTATTAGGCATATGTGATCTAAAGAGTAGTTTGATCTTTGTTATTCCTTTTGTGTTATAAGACAAGATTCTAATTTACACTTTTAATCTCTCAAATTGTTTGAGTGAAGATGCTGTGTCCAGTTGATCAGTCCTCAGATATTTATACAAATACTATGTTTTACAGTTCTCACTTTTAAAATATAATAAAGTTAAATAACTGCAAAAACTGGTGTCAGAACCTCAGTTGTGATTTGCTTTCACCTCGTTACATTTATGTATGAATTGGGTATATTGAAAAAGAAGTGCTCTAGTAAGTTTGTGGATTTATATATCCAAATACTTGAGTTTAACACTTGACCTCATTCCATGGGTGAACAGATTCATAGGGGCAAAGGGCTGGTCTCTTGCAGGGGCCTTAAATGAGAACAGGGGAACAGTCAGAAGTTAAGTCAGTGAGCTTTGTCTGTGCTCAAAGCTTTTGTTACTTGCAATGTTATTGATGAAGCCAGCATGCTAGAAAATGCCAGTGCCCCCAGATATTGCCTCACCTGAGTTCATCTATCTGTCTGGTGATTCTGGATGCTCTTTTACCAGCGGGGGACAGAAGCTGCACTGTCTCTCTGCCTTCAACTCTCCCAGCTTACATGCTCGGAAGGCCTTAGAGCAGTTCTCAACCACCTGTGGGTCGTGACCCCTTTGACCCTTTCACAGGGGTCGCCTAAATACATCCTGCATATCAGATATTTACATTATGATTCATAACAGTAGCAAAATTACAGTTATGAAGTAGCAACGAAAATAATTTTATGGTTGGGGGTCACCACAACATGAGGAACTGTATTAAAGGGTCGTGGCATTAGGAAGTTTGAGAACCACTGCCTTAGAGGCTCAGAGTTGTGGTTTTTCGCCTTCAGTATCTGACTCCTCAGCCCACCCACCCCAGGAGCTGCTGCTAGGTGTCTGGGAACCCAGAAACTTCTTGTCGTTGCTTCTCAGCAGCCTGTTCTATACTTCACTGGAGGCCACATGGTCATAATAGGTTCCAGGGGTGGTGCTCCAGTGACTGGAATAGGGCATCCATTTGCTGTCTGAGACTTGGGTGATTCAGAACCACTTGTTCTTCACTGTCTGGTTTGTAAATTATTAGTGCAGAGAATAGAATGCTATGCTAGCCTCCTGTGAACTTGCCAGGCTTTTAAAATAATATTTCCTCTAGTTTTGCCTCCCATTCCATCTTGGAGACTCTGTAGCCAATAGAATTGAGCAACTTGAGCTCTGAAGCCCTCTGGGCACATCGAGCATTTGCTTTCATCTGTGTGATTTCTGATGGTTGGAGTATCTTATAGGACATATTCCAGAGGAGGATTTCCCAGACTTTTAAACTTGGCCGCCTCTGTAAGCATGAAAAAGCCATGCCCTTCTGTAATATTGTAAATTAAAAATTCAACATCACAACTGGAAACAATATAATTGGGAGGAAAAGCGCTGTTTTTTCAAGCAGCAGAAGGGATTGTACTCACAGTTGGCTGAGGAAATGAAGAGCGTTTACATCTTGGGGGATGTTTCTACTGTGTGATGCTGGGACTTGCTTGTATCCCTAAGTCCTCTGAGGCTGATCAGGGAATGATGGGCTCTAGGGGAGGGAAACAATGCGTGGTGGACAGTGTTCTTCCACTCCCTCCCGATATCCCCCCTGTTGTCCTGCTGCTTAATGGAATTGAGCCTTGAAAGCATCTCTCTCCAGTGAGTGCAGATTCAGTTCGAGCTTTCCCACACTCCTCACTATGCGAGAGGTGCCTCCTGAGCCACCCTGGCCACTTTCTCTCTTTTTGGAGCATCCCCTGGGCACTAGAGCATCAAGAGTCTTTCCAGGTATGTTACAAAGAGGTCTGAGATAGAAAGAGGTAGCCAAGAGATCCAGGCCAGTTTCTGTCATCTGGTCCTGTTGCTTTAGCTCTCAGGGTCAAGGATCACCCATTCCTCTAGAGGTGTGAGAAGTCAGGGAGATTTGGCTGCAAAAGTAGCTGGATAGGGCCAGGGTGAAGGTGTGTGCTCCTTTATTCCTGTCCTGCCCGCCCCTGAATCCCTGCTGCTCCATTTTCCACATTCTGTTCACAGCTCACCCCATTATACTGAAACTCAGGAAGGCAGCTGTGTGGCTTGATATTAAGACTTTCAGTCTTCAGATAAATTTCAGCATAGGTTCTGGAGTTACTAGCAGTTCACTAGCTGTGCAGACTTGGTCCCTGTCACCTTTCTGTGGAAGATGATAGCCATTAGTATAGAGGGGAGGGAAATGGAGATATAGAGATAGAGAGAGAGAGACATTGATATGAGAGAGATACATCGATTGGTTGCCTCTCACACATTCCCCAATTGAGGTATGTGCTCTTGACTGGAAATGGAACTGAGAGCCTTTGGTACAGGGGCTGATGCTCTAAGCATTGAGCAAACCGGCCAGGGCATGTCATTACTTTTTCCGTACCATGAAGGGAGCTTCATTATTGGCCTCTGTCCCCATTTCATTCACTTTCTCCCTGGGGAAGTGGAATTTTCTAATCAGTGATTTTGGGAGGAATAACTGGCTATTTTCCTCTTGGGAGAAAGACTGCTGGGAGGTGATATTTCTAGGTAGATGAGTCCAATTAACACTGGAATCTACCTGCAGACTCATTGGCCTGTCACATTGAGCTGTGTCTTCCAACTTAGCTCAACAATAGGAATATGTTATTTTAGCCTCTATCTTAATTCTTTTATTTCTCAACATTTTATTTCTCAAGAGGGGAAAAAGGGGGTGATATTTACTGGAGCTCCTTTGAACATCTCAACACACAGCATAAGGTAGGTATCAAATCTATCCCCCTTTCTCCACACACACCGACACACACTGTTACCAGGTTATGTTGCTTCCTTCTCCATCACACGGCTGATTTTGCCAATCCCTTTTGACATCATCTCTTGCTACATCATTTTTATGATCAATAATTCCTATCTTCCCCAGGATATTATGCAACATGAATCTAAAATAATTTTTATGTAAACTGAGTACATATTTAATATTGTGGCCCTCAGAACTCTAATAAGATTCTCCCTTACCTGGCTAATCTCATTTCTTGCTATGTCCTGGCCCACACACTTCATACCAGCCAAGTCATACTTACTCAAGCCTTTTCTATACTCGGGCCTTTATCTCACCTCATTAAACTCACGAACCCCATTAGAAATGTATGAAGCCATCCCCATGATCCCTGTTTCCTGGTAACCACACCCATGTGTATTTAAGCCCCTTGCACTGAGTTTGGGCTGGACTTACTACCTTCTAATGAACAGAATACAGGAGAAGTGATGAGATGTCAATTCTGAGATCAGATTGGAAAGACTGTGGCTTCTGTCTTAGGCACCCTCTCAGGAAGGCAGCTGCCACATCACATGGCAGCCCTGGAAAGGTCCCACGTGTGAGGTCTCAGGGCTGCCAACAACTTTGTGAGTGAACTGGGGAGTGAATTCCCACTCCACCACCCATCGAGCCTTCAGTTGAAATCACAGCCCCACCTGATAGCTTGACTGCAACCTCACAGAAGGCCTTGAGAGAGGAAACCTGATAAGTCACCCCCTAAGTTCCCAACCCCCAGAAAATGTGAGATAACAAATGTTTGTTGTTATACAGAAATTTGTAACTAAAACAATAGTATCTCCCCTGTTTTTAATGAAAAGCAATAAGTTCTTCTTGGTTATTATTCTGTTTTCTCAACCTCACTGCCAAACCATTCTCCTGGTGCCCTCCCTCCACTGACAACAACCACAAAATCTGTTTGTTGCCCTAGGACAGTGATGGCGAACCTACAACACGCGTGTCAGAGGTGACACGCTAACTCATTTTTCTGGTTGATTTTTCCTTGTTAAATGGCATTTAAATATATAAAATAAATATCAAAAATATAAATCTTTGCTTTACTATGGTTGCAAATATCAAAAATTTTCTATATGTGACACGGCACTAGAGTTAAGTTAGGATTTTTCAAAATGCTGACATGCTGAGCTCAAAAGATTCGCCATCACTGCCCTAGGAAATGCTTGTTATCTCTTGTTTGTTTGTTGTTTGTTTGTTTAAAGTCCTGATCTCTCAAGTCTGAACTGAAAATCTGTGCACAAAGTCCCAGTGAAATTTTGAAGGAGTGAAGTCTCTTCCTTGAAAAGGAAAATATGCAAAGTTTCTTCTTGGTTCATGAAATATTTGACATGTGCAACCTGCTGTGGTGGTTATTTTTAGATCTTCCCTCTGACGGAGTGCCTGGGTCTTGTTTTCACTTGTCTTTCAGGGCTTGTGTATGACTGAATGAGGCCAGCTCCCAGGAAGCATAGGCGTTCCTGCATAATCTTTACGGGGAAGTTCTGTATGTACATGAAGATTTATTTGTTCTTTTTCTTGTTTCCCTTTTATCATTTTAAAAATATGTTGTTTTTGTTTGCCTTTCTTACAATAGAAGTATAAATCTCATGTCTATATGGATATATATCTATCGTATAATCAGCATCTGAGTGTAACCATGTAGACATATTTATTGAGTGAGGGTTAGTTGTTTCTAAAGTTGCATCTTGCTTATTAATTTAGGTATCAATATATTCCAAAAGTTACCTTGGATGTTGGCAAAATCAACAGCAATGCTTCTGTTAGAAAAAGTGCAGGTATATAAGAAATGACTCTGGTCAGAAAACAGTACCTTGATAGAATCCCTTCCTGAAATGCCTGAGTTAATCAGTGACATATGAACCTCCCTCATGAGGCTACTGTAGAGAAGCTCTGATCATTGTGGGGAATGGTGGCAATCAGCACTGAGTTCCACTCCAGGCATTGTCAAATGTTTGTATTACCTGCAAAATCTATATACTTATGACAATCATGCAAAGGATTTAAGCTTTATGATTATGTAATAAGTAAACTGCCTGACTAGGATGTGGTTTTG